ATCTCCCTGCTGCTTCCATAATGGCAATACGAATTTGCAATCCCACCAACACTTTTTGATAATAGTCATCCTACAGGTGTGAGGCGATAACTCATTAAGGATTTGATTTTCACCTTCTTCATGACTAGTAACGCTCATATACCAGTGCATCATATGCATATCTTCTTTAGAAAAATGTCTATTAAGGAACTGCAATATGATCTAGCAATGTCATTCAAGGGATATACCCGAAGGAATGTCAGTCAGAGTACAACAAAGGCACCTACACACTCATGTTTACCTCAGTAGTATTCACGATAGCTAAGCTCTGGAAACAGCCAAGATGCCCCATGCTGATGAATGGATTAAGAAAATGTGGTATTTATATACAATGCAATTATATTCACCCATAAAGAAGAATGAAATTTTGTCATTTGCAGGTAAATGGATGGAACTGCGGAACACCATCTTAAGTGAAGTTAGCCAGGTTCAGAAAGCCAAAGGTTGCATGTTTTCTCTCATATGTGGAATACAGGCCTAATACAAATACAGTAATAGTACGAAAAACAGAGCTCACTAATAGAGAGGGTGGGTAAAACAAGGTGAATATGGTTGATGTATTTCCTATACAAGAATGAATATACAATTTTTAAACCTGTTGAAATCACCATAAGAAGGGGACTAAGATAGAAAGGAGAAAAATAGAGAGAATGAACCAATTCTGGGTTGTAATACATATATACATGGAAATGTAAGAATGAAATACTCTATGTAGCTATCTTAAACAAAAAAAGTCTTTTTTTTTTACAAAAATGGACAACAGGAAGCCCTGGGGGGTTGGTATCAGTGGGAGGGGGCAGGATATAAGGAAAGTGTGTAGGAGGGTAAATATGGCGGAAATATTATGTATACATGTATGTAATGGAAAAATGAGACCTGCTGAAACTATTCCAGGAATGGGAGGGAGGGGGAAAAAGGAGAATGATGAAGAGAGTGAATTCAAGTATAAGAACTTTTGTAAATGTCCCAAATGCATCCCCAGTACAACAATTTTTTTAAAAAAGGCAAAAAGAGAAAAATGTCTATTAAGTTCCTTTGAGCATTTTTAACTGGATTGTTATAATTTAAATATTGAGTTGTATGAGTTCCTTATATATTTTGGATATTGATGTGTTATACGTACAAGGTTTTCCCTATTGCATAGCTTGCCTTTTCAGTCTGGTATTTTCTCTGCTCTGCAGAAACTTTTCTTGATGTAATCCCACATATTTATTTTTGCTTTTGGTCTCATGTCCAAAAAAGCCATTGCCAAGGCCAGTGTCAAGGTTTCCTCCTGCTTCCTTGTAGGAATCAAGTCTCACAGTGGAGCCAGTTTTGAGGTGGTATTTCTGAATGGGGTAAGAGTTGACTTTCATTATTTTGTATGTGGATATCTTGATTTTTTTTCAACACCATTTATTTAAGATCACTGCTTCTCCACTGTGTATTCTACTCTTGACACCTTTGTTAAGGACTAGCTAACTGTACATGTGTGAGGAAGCTTCTGTGCTGTTTTGCTCCATTGGCCTATGTCTGCTTCAATACCAGTATCATGTTATTTTGATTAAACACAGCTTTGAATATAACTTGAAATTAATTAGGAGGTGTGATGCCTCCATCTTTGTTCCTCCTCACAATTACATTAGGTACTTGGGATCTTTGATGGTTCCATATCATTTTTAGTATTATTATTTTTCTATTTCTGTGAAAATGCCTTTGGATTTTGATATAGGTTGCAGTGAATCTGCACACTGCTTTGGGAAATATGGACATTTTAATAATAACCCTACCTATGAACATTTTCCCATCTGTGTCTTCAATTTCTTTCACTGATCCCTTATAGTTTTCAATGTATTTGGACTTTTTTAACTCCCTGGGTTAATTTTTTCTAAGCATTTTATTCTTTTGATGATATCTTAAATAAGACTTGTCTTAATTTCTTTTTCAGTTAATTCACTGTTAACGTACAGAACTGCAACTGATTTTACTGTGGATTTTGCATCACTGTTTTCATTAGCTCTAGCACTTCTCTACAGAATTCTGGGATTTTCTTATGTCTCAGATCACGTAATGAAAAATAGACATAGCTTTATCTCTTCTCTTCTGATTTGGATACCTTAACTTCTTTTTCTTGTATGGTGGTTCTCACAAGGACTCCCATGACTATGTCACTACAAGTGGCAATAGTAGGCATTCTTTTTTCTTTGTGGGCCTGGGGTTTGAACTCAGGCCTTGTGCTGCTCTTACCTTGCTTCCCAAAAAGCTCTTGTGTTCATGGCTGAATCTGACACTGGCTGTGAGCCTGTCACACATGGTCTTTACAATGTATTGGTAATTTGTTTAGTCTTTATCATGAAACGATGTTAACTTTGTCACATGTTTTATCTGCATCTACTAAGGTGCAGAAATAATTGTCATCCTTTATTCTATTAATGTGTTGTAGTACATTCATCAGTTTGCATACACTGAAACACCTTTGCCGCCTATAGATAAAATTTCATTGACTGTGGCCAGGATAAAACCGGTTTTCGGAAATAAATCTGAAAGTGCTTCACCTGTTCCAGTTCTTTGGAAGTGTTTGAGAAGGACTGGCATTCATACTTCTTTAAATGCTTGATAGAATTCACCAGTGAAGGCATCAGGTTAAGGTCTTCTCTTTGTTGGGAGATTTTTTTCTTTACTAGTGATATTCCTTACTCACTATTGGTCAGTTCAGATTTTCTATTTCATTTGGATTCAGTTTTAGTAGGCTGTATGCTTGTACAAATCTGCATGTTTCTTTTAGGCTATCCAATCTGTTAATGTATAATTGCTCACCATAATCTCTTATGAGCACTGCATTTCTGTGGAATCAGCTGTAAAGTCTCTTTCTTCATTTCTGATTTTATTTATTTGTATCATCTTTTTTCTTAGTCCAGCTAAAGGCTTGTCAATTTTAACTTTTCAAAAACTCAATGCTTAGGACTGGTGGAGTGGCTCAAGTGGTACAGCACCTGCCTAGCAAGTGTGGGGCCCTGAGTTCAAATCCCAATGCCATCAAAACCAAAACTAAACCAAACCCAACCCGACCCAACACTTGGTCCCTCCGATCTTTCCTATTTATTACTCGTCTTGACCTCATTTATTTCTGCACCATTTCTTGTACTTCCTTCTACCAATTCTGGACTCCACCTGTTCTTCTCCTAGATCTTTGAAGTTAAGTACTGGAGAACTTCATTTTTCAGTCACAGAGGCATTCGTCTCTGTGAGCCTCCATCTTACCAAGACTTCTGCTGTATCATGTATGTTTCAAGGGTCTCAAGATACTTTTTGGTTCCTTTTGATTTCCTCCTGGACTCAACAGTTATTTGTTTATTTAACTTTCCATATATGGGAATTTTTCAAGTTTCCTCCTGTCACTGATTTCTAGTTTTATACCACTGTAGTTAGAAAAGACAAATTGGTATGATTTCAGTTCTGAACAAAAAGGGCAGACAGCTGAACACAGTGACAAATGCCTATAACCCCAGTTGTTAGGAAGGTAAGCAGGAGGATCACAAGTTCAAGGCCAGCCTGGGCAACTTAGCAAGACCCTGTCTGAAAATAAAGTTAAAAAAAAAAAGTGGGATTGTAGCTCAGTGGTAGACCATTTGCCTAGCATGTGGAAGACCCTAAGTTCAAACCCCAGGACCACCAAAAAAAAAATTTATGAAGGATTTCTATTGTTTGCAGCAATGACTAAGTTACAGTAACAACAGATCTGAACCAATGTCCCTGGGTTCTACATATCCCTTGATAATGGTTTACTTGTAGTTCTTCCTTTACCACACACACACACACACACACACAAAGTTAAAACTCTCCCAAAGACTTTTTTCAGAAATCCATACCTACTTCTATCCAAATCCTCCTTCTAGACCATCCTTGCAAGATAGTCAGCAGAAGCAAAACCTTAAGAAACTGAGCCAAACTAAGGATTTTGACTTAGGAAAGCTTTCCCTCACTTAAATGGTTGCAGTTCTCAGTTAAATAAGAATAAAAAATTGGATAGAAAAATAAGATGATCATAGTGAGTAGTGGATGAAGAACTTCAAGAGCCTCTGGACTCTGAGTCTAGTCTTTGGAAATAAAACCAGACAGCAGTAAGCTAATGCTGAGTAAACACTAAAGAAAATATGTACAACGGTAAGTATGCACAACAGAAAGTTCAGCAAACTAGCACTTCTGAATGCTTCATTCTGTATAGCTCAAAACCAATGTCTGTTCTGAGTGTAAGATTCCTTGATATAGAAGTGAAATGCATCACAGTGCTTACTGCTTCAGTGGAGTACCACCAGTCACCTAGCAGCACTATTTTTCTTTGATATTCTACAATGCAGGATCCATGGATAAGTTGATATATTTAATTAAAAGGCATGCCATCTGAGAAATGAAATACTGAAAGCAACGTCTACATTGCTACTATTTGAGCTAGCTATGCTGTCATCATTTTTTTTTTTTTTTTGTGGTCACAGGGTCTTGATCACTGCACATGCTACCCAGCATACCCAGCCCTTCCAAGATTTGTAAGAGCTGAAAGAGTCGGAGCACACGGCTGCATACATCTGCTTTGTTTGTTTGTTTGTTTGTTTGTTTTGGAAGAGAACATGGCCCTGGGGTTTGAACTGAAGGCCTCACGTTTGCTAATCAGGCACTCCTACGACTTGAGACACTCTGCCAGTAACTGCATGCCTCTAGAGAAACAATTTCAGCATGCTTCAAAATTGAATTAATGTCAGCTGCAACTCCAGAAAAATAAAAGCAATTTCTATGGGCAAAGGACTTACTTTCATTGAGCAAAAACAAGCTTTCCCCTTACAACAAAGTTTTAAGCAAAATTTCAAAGTGTTGTAGGCAACTTCACACGAGAATCATCCTAAGCAGAATTTATATTGCACTCATAGTGACTAGAGGTAGTTACCATGGGATTTGAACCTAGCTTGTTAAGACATTAATCGACATACCTGTGTAGTTGAGTATTTGGAAAAATTTTCCATTTGACTTTGTCTAAGAACTTCACTTTGTCTGTGATCTGAAACAAATTGGGAAAAACGGTTTAAGTTGATTGGATAATGTTCAAACTTCTTACAACTAGAAAAATAACATGTATTATCTAATATAGCCAATGAAGAATGGCTAGTTTCCATGGCTTTCCAAAAAAAAAGATTAATCTTCAATTTCAATACACCACCTTAGAACTTAAAATTAGGCCCTTTTAAATTCCTAAGTGACTGCTGAAGAGAAAAAGAATAGCTACAAAGAACCAATTTTACTGATTTCACAAATTTGAATCCCTAGTCTCCCCTCACTTGCTTTTCGGTGGCTTCTGCGGCGTCTTGCTATTGTTTTAGCTCCTGCGTTTCACAGGAGGTGACTTTTCCCCGGCATCCACGTTATGTTTAGGGCTAGCACGACAAAGCAGTGCAGAATGCTTATTGGAGGCTCTGATCATGTCGGGACCTCCAGAGGAATCCCGTTTAATTACCTGCAACCTTCGATCTCCTAAGCTCCGTTTTGCTGCTGGCAGAAATAAGACTTTGAGTGGATCAGTCTGACCAAGAGTGAGGAAAGGATGGTGATTACACGATGTCTCCCTCAGGTCAGGAGCCCTGCTTGCCAGTGTACATTCAGTCTGATCTTTGGCTTGGTTCATTGTCCTGCAACAGGTGCTTCTCAGCTGTGTAGCTGGAGTATCACAGTCCTCTTGGAAGAAATCAGCTTTTTCTGCTGAGACTGTGATTCGAGTTCTCTGAAGATTTCGAGGACTAATTCTGTATCTTAAAAATAAACCCTTTTAAATAATTGGCAAAAAAAAAAAAATGGTCCCCATATGTATGTTTCTGTATTGCTGCTACAAAAACAAAAAAGAGCTGGGAAGCAAAGCTGTTGTCTTATTCTTTGGAATTTTTAAATCAGCTGAAACTCTTCCAGAACTTGTAGGATAAGGAACCCAAATTAAACAGGAGTGGTGTAAGACAACATGAAAGAAGGTAACACTAAAGCTAAGAGCTCAGTAGACATACTCACATCAAGAAAAGAAACATACACAGGATATATCACCCAGGGAATACACAATCAACGTTCTTTTTAAGATCACAGCGACCTCTTAAAATTGATTACTTGCTGGAAGTAGAGCATATCTTAACATCACTGAAAGGAATAAACACAAAAAGAATATTCTCCAGGGAAGTAAAAATTAGAAGTGAGAGCCAAAGCAGGTTGGAATCCTGTATGTGGGGAAGAAATCACTCTTTCAAAACCCATAGATCTGAGGAAGAATTACAGAATAAATTAAAAGCAGTTTGAACTGAACCAGAGTTTAAATGTGAGGCACCCCAGACCTTGCTAAGAGAGCAGTCTACAGCTTTAAACGCACACTTCCTTTGAGTATCCCTTACCGAAATGCCTGGTGCCAGCAGTGTTTCAAATTTCAGTTTTTCAGATTTTAGGTCATTTATGTGAACCTTATCTGTTGAGTATTTCTAATTTGAAAATAAAAAATCCAAAATGCTCCAACATTCATCACCATGTAGGTGCTCAAGAAGTTTTGAATTTTGCAGCATATTGGACTTTCAGAGTAGGAATGTTCAACCTGTACTAGAAAAATGTCTGATACTACAAATCCATTCCAAAACATTAGAAAAAGGGTAAAAAGTTAAACTCAGAAGAATCAAGTGAAGGAAGTAATAGAGGTAATCCCTGAAAATGAAGAAATAGTGAACTCACAAAAAAGAGGATCAAAAATAAAATTATCTCAAACGTTACTTTAACAAGCGTTTCATGAAATTCAAGATATATTCAAGACAAAGTCAGCAACGTCAGACAGGAGGGAGCGTTCTTCATATGATAATGGGTGCCTACAAAAAACACACAACAAGCATACTGAAGGGTGAAACCGCTGAAAACTTTCATTGGAAACTGGAAATTACACAAGAATAAATTCTCATGGCATTTACCCCGCCTTCGACTGGAAATCTCAAGTTAATGCTATGAGGCAAAAAGTGAAAGAAATAAAGGGTACAAAGGCCAAAAGTAAAGAAAAAACTGTTTAATAGTCTTGAATGTGTGTGTGGTTACTCCAAATGAGCACAGGTAAATTATTAACATCAGTAAGTTTAGCAAGGACTTTAGATACAATGTCAACACACAAAAATCAACTACACAGCTATATGCTTGTTAGAAATATTTTAAAGCTACCTGGGTGTCAGGAGAGACACAACACTACTCAGAAGTCAACAGGCAAGGAAAAATACACGTCTGCAGAAGGGTGCACACCAGAAAGTCTGGGAAACAAGCACCCTGGGCAGGAAGCCCACAGGGATATATCTGACACCATGCTGTCTCTCTCCTGCTCCTGGATTGGACAGGTTGGGTTCAAAGTCTACGCAATTGGCTAATTAGAAAAGGGCTAGGTTGGGAGGGGCTTTGGAAACAAAAAAGTTTAAAAGTTTAGGGAAACAATAACTATTTTTGGTTATCAGTTCCAGAACCAGTGGAATTCTTGCCCCACTGAGGAAAAAGAACCCTTTGTTCTTTGTTTTCAATAGAAACTTCTCTCATATTAAGCTGAGTCCATGAGCAAGTATTTGGGAAGTGAGTAAATAAGGCGGTATTACTGATTAAATTCTTTGACAGAAAAGACCTGACCTAAGCTGATTCTTACAATTTCCCCCTTTTACTTTCAGGTCTTTTTAAAAAAACTTAGCTAACATTAATTAACTTTCTTGTTTGACTGTGTCTAACAGGAGATTGTCAGGGTAAGAGACAGGAGTCTGTTTGGTGAGTGAGGTCTCAATTATCTTTGGGTGAACCCTCTCACACATGTATGATATAGCACACTCCTGTGGTCATTACTCCTAACACAATTATGAGGGAAGTGAAAAAGGGCACCATCATGCTTTTCCATTTTCCAAACCACTGTTCCAGCAAGCTATGACCTCAGTCATCTACTCTGGAATTTTCTGCAAGTTCATTGGCAAGAGTAGCTAATTCCTGTAAAGCCTTTGTAATGGTGCCATCAGAGGCGGTATTCTTGGAAATGAAAGTACAACACTGACCTTCTACCATTACACAACTCCTCCCTTTCTGCTAACTTCACGCACAGGACTAATCTAGTCTGCCATGCCATTCGGCTTGTGGCATCTCATTGCTCTGCTCTCCCCTGATGGCATCTCTAGAGTAGTTGACAGATCTCTGCTGATCCAATCTACATTTTTATTGACTGTGGACCACCAGAATAGTGCAGACTGGAAGCCCGCTGCTATTTGATTTCCAGCCTTGAGTTCATCGGGGACTCCTTGGGGGACTCCCATGCCATCTGTATAAACATAGTGGTCAAGTGCAGTCATGCCTTCTGTGCTTCTTTTATTTGGGGACTGGCTGGGTTGTTGAAATGCCAGGGTGAAAGAGAGAGCCAACTGAAGCAAAGCACAGGTGTCACTCCAACTTTCCAGGAGAATCTCAAGCAAAGGCCCTCTACCATCCAACCAGACATCTGCTTAGGCTTTGGTCAATGCATTTTGACTGCTTATCTCATCAAAGGATCAACCTCTATTACAGCCGGCCAGGTTACCCATGAACATCAGCAACTCCCCATACCTAGAGAGGTTCAAGATGTAGTTGGTGTCAGGGGACAAAGAACTGATGGTTCGAGGGTGCTTCTGTCCCACACATTTTGCCTCTGGAAGCAGTAATTACAAGGTCTTAAGACTCACTTCCCCAGGCTGAAACCTCTGATACAGAGCTATCATGCATGCCATACCATTAGGGTGTAAGGTCCATCCTCGTGGGAATGAGACCACCTGAGTCTCTGGTCTAGCTGCAGCACAAGTGTAATAACCAGTCTATTTGAGGCATGCACAGATTATTTACCCATTCCAACCAGACATTTGTCTCACCAGTCCAGTCTCTTATCTCTAGGGTTTGCTTAAGTCAGTTACTACTGTTACATGAACCTTTTCAGGACTGTTTGGTGACTTCTCCCATTATCCTCCTCTGGAGTAGGGGTGTTAGAAAAACGCCACACATCACACACAAAGGAGGCTCATGGGCGGTATCTCATGTCCAAAGTTTAATAAGCAGACTGGCTGGCCGAGAGAAAATAGCACAGCAGCTTCTCTCGGTGGGTCTGACCAAAGTAGCATTTGGGAGAAAGCAAGGGCAAGGGACAGACAGAGAGGTGGTGGGAGATAAGGGACAGTGGGCTTTGATCTGCAAGGGATGAGACCAGCTGCATGAGCAAGGTCTAGGGGCAGGCAAAGGGAGGTGGCAGAAGATAAGGAACAGTGGGCTTTGATCTGCAAGGGATGAGACCAGCTGCAGTTTAGGCTGCAGAAGGGGCAGTTCTTATCATTCCCACATTTTTTGTTTAATAATGATGATGGTAGGGGCTGAGGATCAGGAATTGGGGTGAAACATCGGTCTCTTTAGCTGCTTTCTCCTGGTAAGGGGTGTTTTATGGGGCAGGATCCTCAGGCTCCTGTGGCATCCTGGATGGGGCCTTTACAGTAGTTTTTCCAGGCAGTTTTGGAGAGGTTGATACTCCTGGAGGTACAACTGGTTAAATTTTTGATTAGCAGTAGCAGACATGTAGTATGACACAAGGGAGGAAGCTTAAGAATGGGAGAGCAAGAAAATTAGGCATCAGGATGGGCATTGGCCTGGAGAACCAATGTGAAATGTTGTTCCCTAGAGGGTTTTAAGAGTCCATTCCTTAAGAGGTGCTGCCACCAGGGGATCCCATTGAGCCTGACAGCAGTGGGTGTTGTGAGAATGACCAGATGAGGGCTGGTTCACCAAATTCCCAATGGAGAGAGTAGAGGATCCTTTTAAGAGAACAAGAGCCCCCGGTTTAACAGAAATTGTTATAGGGTGGGGCAGAATCTGGTCTGTATGCTCTTTGAGAAGCTCCCTGAGAAGGTTAAGATAAGGCAGGTAGTCGGCCAGAGGAGCAGGGTCTGTTGGAGGCAAGTTTTCTAAGAGAAATGGGAGGCCATATATTATTTAAGGCCCAAATAGGAATATTAGGAGGAG